ACCTATCTAATTATATATCTATCTATTTATCTGTATATTTTATACATATTTGCCTGTATATTTTAATTTCTTACAAACTTTTAAAATATATTTTTAAGATGTATAACTTGGGATCGATAGTAAAATTATCATAAATATATGTATTTTAAAATATGTAGGTATAATTAAATAAATTAAAAAATTGAATATATAACCAGCAGAAGCACAAGCAGTTTGCTATACATATTTCATAATCCAACAAATAAAATTTTTATTAATATGCTAAAATGTCATTCAATATAAAAGCTTTTATCTTTAATCTGTAAAATTTTTTCAAGAACTCTTTTGTGTCCAAAGGCCTTTAATAGCCATTAGCATATGAGACAGCTCCATTAGCTAATAAAATACATCGCGGCCTCTTAATAAAATTCACATAACAATACCAAAGCATGGGCCAATATAAATATATTACCTTTAAGCCATATGCATTTCGTAGCATTAGCATTAGGCTAAGCATAGGTAAGCTTTAAACCGTGCTAACAGCCACGAATCACGCATGTATTACTTCATCTGCAATGCCTGCTGCTCACCTGCCACTCACCTTCCATGCGTCTATCTGTATTAAATATGTAGAGGCTCCTGTGTATCCTTACGATGCGGGATATGCGCAAATGAGCCCTTATTTATAGGCCACTCTGGGCATCTAAAAATAAAACACTCGCAAACTTGTTGTTTTAGCCACTTGTTTATATCTATACTCCAGTGTGTCAGTGTGTGTGTGTGAACGTGTGTGTGGGTGTGGCTGTCGATGGCATGTAAATAAAACAATAGCCAAATTCGACAAGTGTCTTAACAAATTTCAGTAATTGGCATTCCTCGACCAAACTTTGCCGTTTTTCATTTATTCTTCCGCTGTGCGTTTATAATAATCACCCGATGTTCTTTTTCTGTCTTTAATTCCCTGCTATTTGCAAAAGCTATTGAGTTTTCCAAAGAGCTGCTGACTTTTGTTCCACACTAGATATATTATATACAATATAATCACATACTTATTGACAAGAAATAATGGAAATTATATTTAGACTCCGCGTCATCAGGATAGCGTTGCCTTTGCGTACCATTATCATTGAAACAATATCATTGAAGCTATATATTATGATTTTTTTGTATTAGACTCAGTCTTATGTTTGCTGGAATAAAATCAAATTAGGTTGCCTGTCAATTCAGCAAATATTTTGTAGTATTTTTTTTACAAAGAAATACATTAAAATTTGTCGAAACTTGACAAGTGAAATAATTAAGATAAATATTTTGCATTTTCCTATAACATCGGCAGAAATGAGATATATATATATATACATATATTCCTTTCTAGGAAAAAGAAAAACAAAATGATTCCGGATTAGAGCAAGATAAAGAAGCACCAGTCTATTTATTTTATTTTATTTATTATTATTTATTAAATTAACAACCAAAAATGTTTAGTTATTATTAAAACTAGTTGAACTCTTGTGAAAGTAAAATTATTTTCTTTAATTATAGTTAACTTACAATACCCTCATTTACCTAAGAGAGTATCACACAGTCGCTTACACCCAACTATTAAGTTCTATATGCTTCATTTTGTTGCAGTCGAGTAACATTTTGTTTGATTCAGTTGCCTGATTTAACATTTAACATTTTAAGATGCCGAACCATAAATATAAAAATTCCTTAAATATAAAAATATAAGGGCAACTGGTTTTCAAGCACTAAATCCAATTTTCTCCAATAATGCATAAATGCTTAAAATAATTCAATTTTATATAGATTATTTTACATATTTTCTCGCTTATATTTCTAATTCAAATGCTTCATTTGAAAACCAAAAATTTATCGCATTCAAGCAAACATTTCATTTAATTAAACAGTATTATGTGGTTTATAGAAATTTGCCCATAACTTTTTCAAAGTTAAAACTTGCCATTCTAAAAGAGGGAACAAGCGGGCTTACGACTTTTAATAGAGGAAAAACTTGAAAAGTTTTGCTAATGACAGCCGAGCCAAGCAGAACCCAGTTGAATATCTGGGCGATAACGTGTTTATCTATGTGTGTGTGTGTGTGTGTGTGTGTGTGTGTGTGTGTGTGTGTGTGTATGTGTGTGTGTTTCTATCTATATGTTTGTTTGTTTGTTTGTATAGATTATCATAGCATATCACACACATCGCCAAGGTCATGCTCACAAAAACTTTTGCATATGCAAAACCAGACTGAAAAGAAAAGTGCAAAGCGTTTGCCGTTGGAAAACTCAAGGCAACTTATCCAAAGCTTTTCATGCTAGCACACAGCCACCCACGCAGACTCAGCCACCCACTCGTACACCCCATACACTCGCACAGACACACACTCTGCTTGTAATCAGCTTATCACTAAGCATTCAGTCCACGGCGGACCCTAGTGTTGAGCTCTGCATTTATGTAATTAAAGCGCCAAATCAGCTTAAATCAGATAGCAGACGTTCCCCCCTTTAGTTTAGTAAAATCCGATCTCTGGCCACACTGTGCCTGACGCCGCTCATCAAGCTGGCCCACTGCATAAATTAATATCTGCCACTAAAAAAATAAAAAAAGCAACACTTAAAGCTTACAGAAATCAAGGTGAGCTTCAGGTTCATGCAGCTGCAAGGCCTCCGAAAGCCGAGCGGTTCGCGCGAGCCATGAAATACGAGGCAAAAAATTTTTTGGCCTGAATGAAAATGTTTTTTCCCTTCAAGTTTCCTCTAGCTTTCCATGCCACTTTTTTTTGCGAATCGCGTGCGCGCAGTTTATGAGCCGGTTATTTTGATTAATGCTTTTCCAGCGACTGCCACTGCGACTGCGAGGGCAAACGCCGAGGCTGAGCGGATAAATGTGTCAGGCGCTGATGCCGGCAAAAATACGGCGGAACAATTATGTGCAATTTATAGACTAGCCTAAGATTAGCCGAGATTCAGCTGGCAGCGGAACAAAGATGCTTAGCTATTCGCAGATAAATCAAATGACTCGAGTCAGTTGCTGTTGTTGATGATGATGTTGCAACTGCTCAATTTGGGCAATAAAATCTTGAGATGGGTCTTGACGATGACTAACTGAATTGGATTGAAAGTGTTGTTTCACATATGCTAAGCAATTGCAATTGACTTTGGTTTGTTTGATTTCCTATATATGTTGACTGAGTACATGTTCTGTAGGGTATTAATGGAAGCAATAGTTCTCTTAGAGAGTCGAACTTCGTAGAAGTAGATGCACACCTACACATCTATCAGCCACACATAAGCACTTGGGTGCTCAAGGGCATAGAGTGAGCTCCTCAGCGCTGACAAATTAGTTATTGAGAGTCCATTCTAGGTAGATTTATAACCCTAATGAAATTAATCTCTTGCGTGATTGCAAAATAATATATAAAAGAGAAAATTTGCATAGACTCTGTAAAATTGACGAAATTAGCAAGCATATCGAGACAAAAGCCTCAGTAGCCAGTGCTGTGACATAAAAATTAAATTAATTTTTAATTTTATATCAACACTTGCTTCTAAATAAATGAATAACATTCATATATGCTTCATATATAGCTTTCCTCAATTATAAATAAGAAGAGTGGTACTTGATCCAATATCTGTAAGAGCAGCATTTGAGGCTGAAGATATAAGAGCGAACCGCGTCTGCTTTAATCTGGACAGGACGAATAGACGCACGAGCACACAACCCTATAAAAAGACTGCCAGACACAGGGACAAATAAATCTAAAAAATAGCAACACAACTGCATAGACAAAGCAACATCAACTTTCCTAATCATGCTTATCAAGTTTACGCATACAGATATATGTATACTTTGTTAAGTAGGTCACGCCTTTTGCACATATTAGCATAATTACATTATACATATTTAATAGACTCAAAGTGCTACTCTAAATATACTTCTTATCTGCGGAGCACATTAAGAAGACGGATTAAAAAGTAATTTGAATAACTCGTCATAAAACGAAAAGCTGAGTACTCTTAGTCTACTCCAAAGAAGAGAATTCTAATACTCAGATTAAAGTCATGTCCATAGCTACTATATTGCTTATAAGCAAAGCAAAGATAATGATTTAACACTTATTCAATATACTCCCATTAGTAACACTGCCTTCAATTGAAACTAAGTGAAACACTTATATGAGAAGATCGCTTCTCTTTCTACATTTGTTACTCAGTATGAGTATGAGATTTAAGAGCTTGTGGCACATCTTACTCATTTCTCTCACCTACTCACATATCCTGCAAGTTGGCCTTCAAAATGTCCAGTTGCTGTCGTAACATCTTTTATTACAAGACTATCGACCGTTGCTCAAGCTAAGTAGCTCGCTGTATTATTTTACAGTTGGCATTTTACTTGAGCTGGCATTTTTAATTAGTTAGCTTCCTGCCGTTGAAGGAGTCCAACAGCATATTGTCAGCTAAATTGTTAATGGCTTTCTGACAAGACCCTTTTCCAAAATCTTTGTTAACTCTCTTCTTTTCTTCATACTCTTTCAATTAAAGTCAACTGATTAAATGCGCTTTTGAGAGTTTTTCACTTCTATTGTTAACTTTGCCATTTTTAAATGTTTTCTGACAACTTGTAAATAATTTGTTTCTGGGCTGAGTCCGATTTGCTGCTCTGAAATAAATCATGCAAAATAAATATTAATTTAAGGAAATATATAAATAAATAGAGCTACTGTAAATGTACTTTAATATATTTATTTATATTTAATAATTTACTTCTAATCTAAAGTATCATGCAAAATAAATATTAATTTAAGGAAATATATAAATAAATAGAGCTACTATAAACGCTTATGTATATATTTCTATTTAATAATTTACTTCTAATCTAAAGTACCCAATTATATCAGCTCTATATAATGAGTCGTGCTTGCTGCAACATAATATTTGCTTATCGTTAAGCTGCCAAAAATTGGCAGCGAAATGAAATCAAATTTTTCACGCACAACTGAATTTCTCATGTCCTTGCAGCACACACAGCGTTCAGTGAACCAGAGAGTGAGTGAGAGAGAGAGAGAGAGGGAGGGACAGGAAGAGGGGCCAAGGGTGAACAATATTACAAGGCAGCAACCACACACAACAGGAAGAGAACGCGAACGTGGACAAGGACAACGACAACAACAACAACAACAACAACAGTGTTAGCAGGATGTCAAAATGCCATCGGCAGATCAAATCTTGTTCATAAATGTCACCACAACGGTGGCCGCGGCTGCGTTGACAGCTGCCGCAGCCGTCAACAGCACGCCAGAGGCATCAACAACAGCAGCAGCAGCAACAGCAGCAGCAGCAGCAAGCAGCGGACGCAGTGTTGAGACAGCAGCAGCAACAGCAACAGTGGCATCCACAACAACAGCAGCGCTGGCGGCCAATCTGTCCGGTTCGCTGGTGGACAGCTTAACAACAACGGCAACAACAACTGCAACTGCAACAGCCACAGCGATTGTCGAGTCAACAAATGATTGCAGCGCTCTGGCCGTAGAGGAGCTGCACGGCAGCTTCCTTGGCGTGCAGCTGGCGGTGCCAGAGTGGGAGGCGCTGCTCACAGCGCTGGTGCTATCCATCATCATAGTGCTGACGATCATTGGCAACATTCTGGTCATACTGAGCGTCTTCACCTACAAGCCGTTGCGCATCGTCCAGAACTTCTTTATCGTGTCGCTGGCCGTGGCCGATTTGACGGTCGCATTGCTCGTGCTGCCACTCAATGTGGCCTACTCGATACTGGGACGCTGGGAGTTCGGCATACACCTGTGCAAGCTGTGGCTCACCTGCGATGTCCTCTGCTGCACCTCGTCCATACTGAATCTGTGTGCCATTGCACTGGATCGCTACTGGGCCATCACAGACCCGATCAACTATGCCCAAAAGCGAACCGTGGGCCGTGTGCTGCTCCTCATCTCGGGCGTCTGGCTGCTGTCGCTGTTGATCAGCAGCCCGCCCCTGATTGGCTGGAATGACTGGCCGGATGAGTTCACCAGCGCCACGCCCTGTGAGCTAACCTCGCAGCGCGGCTATGTCATCTACTCCTCGCTGGGCTCCTTCTTCATACCGCTGATCATCATGACCATCGTCTACATCGAGATCTTTGTGGCCACGCGACGCCGCCTGCGTGAGCGTGCCAAGGCCAACAAGCTGAATACGATCGCATTGAAGAACACCGATCTGGAGGCCATCAATGCCAGCAACGTGGCCGTGGGGGGCAGCTCGACCAGCTCCAAGGCGCGTGCTCTGGGCAGCCTCTGCGGCAGTTGGTTGTGCTGCGGCCGCGATCGCGCCAACTTTGCCGCGCCCATGATTCACAACGATCAGGAGAGTCTGAGCAGCGAGACACACGCCCAGCCAGAGGGCAACAATGAGTCACAGCAGCAGCAGCAGCAACATGTTGTGGTGTTGGTCAAGAAGTCGCGACGTGCCAAGATCAAGGACTCCATCAAGCATGGCAAGGCGCGGGGCAATCGACGCTCGCAGTCATCGTCGTCGGCCTGCGAGCCGCACGGCGAGCAACAGTTGCTGCCCCAAGGCAACAGCAATAATGCAGCAGGCAAATCGGATCCCGAAATAAGCACAGAGAGCGGCAGCGATCCCAAAGGCTGCATACAGGTGGGTTAGCTATGGTTAGATAGGGCTTACTTGCAGAAGTAGAAGCAAAGATATAGGCATTAATAATATGAAATTATTTCTTTGATTAAAAGTGTCTAAAATATTTTAATAAATATTCAAGTTTTTGGTTTAACGATGTCATTAAATTTGCAATTAAATTGGTCAGCATTCTGTAACTTAATATTTTTATTTGAAGGGTCACAGTCTGAAGTAGATTCCAAATTGGGGCAGTCTGTTCCTTCGTTTACAACCATAAAATATTGGGTGACAGAGCTTAAACGATGTCATACGAACTTTCAAGGCGAATACCATAATAGTCGACAAATTGAGCTGGCTACGCCCAAAACGGTTAAGAAAACCCGCAAAATGATTTTAGATGATAGCCGGCTGAAGCTGCGTGAGCCAGATGAAATTATTGGCAAATGCCTTTAAATTTATGGCTGCCTTTAAATTTAAAAAATAAATAAAAATTTGGCGATTCGCTTAGTTAGTTACTTAATTATAATCGCCAATTTGCTATTTGCTTGGGCTAAAATAGATTGCAAAAAAAATATGCACCAAAAAATAAAATAAATAAAGTAATTAATTAAATTAAATTAAATAACAATAATATTCAAGTTTGAAAAAGAAATTGCTTGATGATAGAAGACTTGCAGACAATGAAGGGCTGGAATCTGCGGTAATTGTCTATTTAAATGAGCCAGACAGTTTATAATATAAAAAGGATATCAAGAAATCTATGGAGTTAATAGGATATTATGCTGAAACATAAGGAAAAACACCAGTTATATTGCTAGATTTTTCTTTTCTATATCAGATACTTCAGAAAGCACCCTCGTATATAATATAAGCTATACACATATATACTCTATCCATGAAAATTTCCCCAACATTTCAGGTTTGCGTAACCCAAACTGAGGAGCAAACCTCGCTGAAGCTGACGCCGCCGCAGTCGTCGTCAACAGGTGTCGCTGCAGCCAGCGCATTGCAGAAGAAGCCGAGCACTGTGAATCAGTTCATTGAGGAGAAACAGAAGATCTCGTTGTCCAAGGAGCGAAGGGCTGCCCGCACGCTGGGCATCATCATGGGCGTGTTTGTCATCTGCTGGCTGCCCTTCTTTCTCATGTATGTGATTCTGCCGTTCTGCCAGAGCTGCTGTCCCACAAACAAGTTCAAGAACTTCATCACCTGGCTGGGCTACATCAATTCCGGCCTCAATCCGGTCATCTATACGATTTTCAATCTGGACTATAGACGCGCATTCAAAAGACTCCTGGGCATCAAGTGATATGACAGCTCGGGCCGAGCGCAAATGTGCGACAAGCGAGAGAGCGTCAGTCAAAGTGTGTGCCAAAGGTTGATATGATTCGCGAATGTGTGGAAACACCTGACAAACTCTTACACTCAAATATGGTTTCACTCATTTGTAGAAAGATCTCAAAGTTTCATTTAAAGCAATTTATATGTACTAAATAAGAAAGTTACAAATAATTGAGAAAGAAACCAAAAAATCATAAAGCAATTTCCAATAGCTTATAAAAAATTTCTTGTTAGAAAAGCTAATTCTAGTTTTAATAATCTCAAACTATATTTTTATTTTCACTATTTCAACTTATAAAATTAATTTTTTGTCGGGTGACAACAGCTCGAGATTAGTTTGCATCACTTTCGTCGGGTGTTTCGGGCTTTTAGAAATAAATGTAAACTGTTAAATATACTCATGAAATGAAAAGTAAAATATAAATAAATTTTATGTGTGCAAGCGCTATTAAAAAAAAAAAAATGAAATAATTTAAAAAATCAGCATTCAAATTAGAGAAGAAAAAATATGATACAAATAAAATTAAAAACAAAATACAAATGAAAAACTAATTGAATTTAACTAAATGTTTAGGCACGAGTTTGTTGCAAAACTTTCATGTTTCACTAGTCGGCGCATAAATTTAATATATATACAATATATACAAACATAAAAAGCTAATATATATTATAATATATAAAAACTTAGTTAAATTCGCGCGCGCTCAACAATGAGAAACTTCCAATTGTTTACTTAAGCATTAATTTAAAAATATTTATATATAAATTTAGGTAAATGAATTTATAAAAAAAAAAATAATAATAATATCATAATAAATTATTATATATGTATTTATAATTTACGCTTATTTGTTAAATAAATTAATTTAACATGAATTATTTTCATGACAAAGCATCAAATGTGTTGAGTGTGCAATAGCACAGCTATAAGCATAAATTAAATTAAATTTAAATAAAAATAAAAAATATAAAAAGAAATTAAATTAAATGTTACATTATGCAATAGAGTTATCAAATACATATATATATATATATATAAATTGATGTATAAGACCATGAAAAAAAAAAAAAAAAAAAAAAAAACAAATAAATCCATGGAAATTTTTCAATTTTGATGGTGTACGATAATTTCACTAATTAAATTGTTTAATTAGCAAATGCAAATGGACAAAAAGACAGATTCGAATAAAAGTTATAATGTAAAAAAAAAATCACCATGTTTTCTATGAATTTTTTTTTAAAGCAAACTGCTGAACTTCATTATATAGATTCTATATTGGGTGGGCAAAGAACTTTTTATGAGTTGGACAGTCGCGTGTAATAACCCATAATTGAATTATCGATTACTGCGCTACTTATACTAATTAAATGGGCTAAGTGCGCTTTATACGTTGATTATCAAAAGTTTCTGGAAGTTTGGTCATTAAAGCACAAAGAAGGTCAAGACTTAAAGCAGCATTTCTTAACCCTCCCATTAACCCGCAAAGAAATTAAATAAAAATGAATCAAGTGAAACATTCAATTACTCCTTAATTATAACTTGCCTGTTTATATTCAAATACAATAGGTGCTGCATAATGGATAAATAAATATACAGTATTTACATATACATATGTACACGTAGAACCACATGTTGCACATATTACCAGCTGAGTAACTTACTAAAACCTTAACAGTACCTGTTGTTAACACATGTCGTTACTAATGTTAACATTTGAACACCTCCTTAGCTGACACGAGCTGACTGCTATGCCGAGCCCTATTGGAAGAGATAACAGCGGCATGTGTTAACAGTGCTGTTAAATAATTTAGCATTAGTATTTTTTTAGTATTTTGGCACGTACTTTTTGGGATTTCTTACAGTACATTTTGAGTTTCGGTTTCTGTTTACCATATTTTGGTTAGTCATATTATATATTTAGTTAAAATTAAGTGAAAAGAACTTCACTATTTATTTATTTCGACGTATTAACTTTAAGCAAGTAATAAAACAACAATGCAGGTAAGATAACTGCCAGAGCAACACAATTATAATTAATAATTAATACGTTCTGACGTATGTATATAAATATCTTTATGCATGTGCATTCTCTTATCTCCATATTTGGTAAAAACCAAATCAAAACGCAACGCATGAGTGCTTGCCATACAAATTCTGAATGAAAACTAAAACAATATATACTTGCTATAGGACCCAAATGAAGATACCGAATGGAATGATGTGCTACGCGCTAAGGGAATCATTGGACCCAAACAAAAGGAGGCCGAGATCACAGAAGATCAAATCCAGGCCATGATGAATGATGTCATTCAGCGAAGGACGGATTTGCCTCCACAAGAGGGTCAGCGCGACAAGCTGATCGACGATATGTCACTGGATGAGCTGGACGAGCTCGAGGACTCTGAAGACGAGGCCGTATTGGAACAATATCGACAACGTCGCATCGCCGAGATGCGGGCATTGGCAGAGAAGCCACGGTTCGGCAGCGTGCGTGAAATCTCTGGCCAGGATTACGTCAATGAGGTGACAAAGGCTGGCGAGGGCATTTGGGTGGTGCTGCATCTGTATGCCAATGGCGTCCCGCTCTGCGCCCTCATCCACCATCACATGCAACAGCTGGCTGTTCGCTTCCCGCAGACGAAATTCCTGCGCTCCATTGCCACGACCTGCATACCCAACTTCCCTGAGAAGAACCTGCCCACCATTTTCGTATACCACGAGGGCGCCATGCGTAAACAGTTTATTGGACCCATTGAACTGCGTGGCGAGAAGCTGACGCTCGACGAGCTGGAGTTTATGCTGGGCCAAGTGGGCGCTGTGCCCACTGAAATCAAAGAGGATCCCAAGCCACAAATCCGAGATAAAATGTTAGCCGATTTGGAGGACAAGAGCTCAGAGTTCTTTTAGATCTCATTCTATGCTAAGAGAACAAAGAGCATGCCAAGTCACAAATCAGGAATAAGATAAGCTCGGAATTCTTTCAAAAAAAAACTTCATTCTACTTTATGTCATGTGTTCATATTAAGCCATTTCTTTTTGCAGTACAATCTAAATCCTTACCCGATCTTTGAGCATTTGTTAACATAATAAAAAGTAACAATTTTTGCTACCAAAACTTCACTTGTTGTGCGACTTCGCAATGCTCGTTGAGGATTTGGTCGTGCCCTTCGGTTTGCTGCGAAAGATGTTCGGATCGAGAATATTATAAGGATGCTCGCAGGCGGGATTGATTGTGCGTCCACGTCTCGGTTCATTTTTCTCCAGCAAATGCGGAGCCAGCAGCAGAAACAGCTGCTCCGTCCACGAGGGCAGGCCAAAGCTGGAGAAGCACAGCTCCCAGTAGGGCAAACCCAAATGCGCAATGGCCATGCGCAGATACTCGCTGAACGTCTCGGACAGGAACTGCCAGGTCAGCGTGTTTAGCTCCAGCAAATAAAACTTTGGATTATTCGAGCTGGTTGAATCATACAGCATGCAAACCTACAAATTGATAAATCATTTATATATACTAAACAAAAACTCCATTGTTAGATCTTAGCTCACCTTGGCCACTTCATTGATATTGTTAATTTCGAATATTTTGGTCTTGGCTGTAATGATGGGCAAGGGATTATCCCATTTGCCCTTGGGTATCGGTGCAGTCACTGGCGCCGAGCTGGTCGAACTTGTCGAGGAAGCGGAAGGGGTAACCAGTGGAGTGGTCTCGATATTCTCACGCAGCAGCGTCACCTGCAGCAGGTGCGGAAAGTGTATATAGCCGACTCGACGCACATCGGTAGCTAATGGAGATTTGCTTATATATATCATCTCTTATATATAATCTCTTCACTTACGCGAATATTGATAGCTCCAATGCAGCACAAAGCCATCGGTGGATAGATAAAACTTTTTCATGTCCTCTGGCAGGTAGACACAGTGCCTTTGCTCCCAGTTGACCACCTGGCAGGGATTCAACGGCTGCCGACGCTCCAAGCTTACATTGCAGACGCGAGGCACAGATGCTAAAATAGGTTAAATATAACTTAACTATATCAAATACGCTCGCACCACTCACATAGGGTTTTGATGAGACCTAGAGTTAGGTTCTCGTAGAAAGCGTCTTCCAGTGAGACTTTCTTATGCATTTTGCCTGGCTTATATAAATAGTTAAATAGTAGTTTGTAGGCAAGTAAACAATGCCTGCCTGGTCGGTGGTTACGCTGGCAACGGAGTCGCGCCTGAGTGGTTTCTATGACAGCTTATGACTATAGCTCCACATATATGGCTGAGAAAGTTAATTCAGAATGGCCTAAGCTGAATTTGTATCAATTAAATTTTAGATCGTATTACACAAATAGACGCTATGCAATTTGGTCCAAATTTACAACTGGAGAGTAAACTACTTGATCATAAATTTAAATAGGAAGAAACACAGATTGTGAATGTGATATATATTATTATATTTTAATGATATGTAAAACGCATGGCAGACTTTTTTTTTTTAATATTCTACGATATCGGACCGGAAAGAGCTAGTACCTAATAGATTAATAACTAATAGGGAAAAATTAATATAATAAAATTAATAATCATTGGGTTTAAATAATAAATATTTAAATAAAAATATAAGTTAATAAATGTAAATCAATTTATTTATATTTACATATTAAATTTAATAAATGTAAATTAATTTATTTATATTTACATATTTAATTTAATAAATTTGTTGTAAATTAGTTTTAGCATATATTGTTAAATTTATTCATTCAAACCCATCTATATAAATACTTATTAATAAATTTATTCAGATTGAAATAGTTAAAAAAAAAAAAATAGATTCAGTATATTTGCATTAATAAAAATTTTAATAATGAAATAAAATTAATTTATTTAATTAATTAATTAATTTAATTAAATTAATAATGAACTAAATTAATTTATTTAAAAAATTGATTCATTTACCAATTTATCAAATATAAATGGAATAACTTTATTATATCTATTTGTCTTCTAACTTCACGTCAAGCTCAAAAAATGTATGTACTGTTCCACATTTCATATAGCAATTATTATACCTTTCACATACATATGTGACATATATAACGATAAATATAAATGCTGGAAATTTTATAATTAATATAATTGCAATTTATTTATATATAACACATTTACAGCAATTTATATACAGAAGGAAATTAGAAACACAAATAACTATACATATGTAAATTAAATATGAGTTTGGAAATATGAAGATGGTAACGAACATATAGGCAGAATAAAATATAAGAGTGAGGGTGTGAATTGTTTTCGAAGAGTTAATGAGATCGAGTCATATTTGATTTGTTTCATCTCTTTGCTTGCTCAGGGGTCTCATCGGCCTCCTCTTCATGTCAGGAAACCTCCCACACTGTGGACTCCACCGAGCGGCGCGGCCGAGCCGCAACCTCGACATGGGCGTCCAGGCCGTCGCTCAAGCGACTGAAGCGACGCGCCCAGCTGCCACGCGCTGTGGACTGGCTGCCGGCTATAGAGGTGCGTTGGGTGGCGTCACGGAACAGGCTCATGATATCCTGATTGTCGCCCTGGGCACGCTTGATGCCGTGCTGGTATTTGGCCTCTTTGGCAAGCAGCTGCTCGCGCTGCATTTGGGTCTTCACCTCGGATGGCACGTCGGGTATGATGAACTGCATGATGCCCGTTAGCACAAACACCACATGCTGTCATGGAATGCATACAGACATAATTTAATGTAATGTCCCTTCACTTGTAATTTGATTAATGTACCTCGAATACCACAACAAAGGCCAGCCGTGCGGCAAACACGTGCCAATAGTGGGGGCTCAGTCCATAAGGCTCGTAGTCCTTTGGCCCGTTGCTATCAAAGTATGTCAATCGTGCATAGAATGTGTCTAAGAGCCCATTAATAGCTCACTTACCGATAGCCTCTGTACTGGCAGGTATCTGGATCGCGTTCGCTGCTCGTTGCGCCCCACTCCTCCTTGTAGTCGGACGTATTGAATATGGACAGCGAGTGCTCAATGTAGCCGGCCAGCGTGTGGGATTCCGAGTAGACGAACTTGTAGACGACGCGCGGTATAAAGTCACTCGTGTAGGCGATCACAAAGGCATTCGATACGACAGCCGTGTAGGTGATTATGCGCAGAATTCCATACCAGGCACCAATATCCTCCACACGCTCGGCCAGGGGCCGCCTGGCTTGCGTGACCATCTTGTAGGCATCCAAACGTATCTCGGCCACATTGTTGAGCAGCGCAAAGAGCGGCGCCAAGGGAAATGCGGCCACAAACAGCGTGACGAAGCCATATTGAAGTACTATAATAGGGTATAAAAGGGGCTTAGGTTTTAAGTAGTCTATAATAATTGATTACTTACTCATTTCTAGGTACTCATCAAAGAGTGCCAAGCGTCCTGGATCCTGCATGTGATAGTCCTGCTCCCAAGCCATATGCAAATGCGATTCGTCTTTTGTAGCCTGTAAAAAAGAAAAAGCTGGGTTAGTCTATAACTCCTCAAACTGTCCCTTAAATAGACTTACTTGTTTATGTTTTCGCTGACGCCACCAATTCCAAAATTTGGGAAACAAATACTCCATAAAGTTGTTCCAGCACTGTTTGCCCACCATAATGATAGCCTAGAAACAAATAATACACAATTATGTAGGTATATTTAGCAGATCAATTGTTACAAATTTTTAAAATTTGAAATTTGAAAAAAAAAAATATATATTAATAATAATAATAAATTATATATATATATAAAAATTAATAATAATAATAAAATACATATGTAAAAAAACTGTTTTTAAATTAATTAATTAATTAAAAAATATAACATTTGTAATAAAAAAAAATAATATATTTAATTAATAAAAATAAATAAATAAAATACAAAAATATGTATATTTATATTTTTATAATAATAAAAATTGTCCAAAAGGAAAAAAATTTATGCTAATTAATATTAATATTGTTATTATTATTATTTGTTCTAATTATTAAATTGAAATGGTCTAAAATCAATCAATGAATAAAAGTATTATTTAAATATGTATTTTTTAAATAAAAATATGTATATTTATATGTATATTTATATGTATATTTAAAGCACCTACCAATTGTATACAAAGTTCGGAGAGGCAGCCCGCCGGATCGCATATATCATTCTTGAGCCGAAAGAATTCACTGCGTCGCGCCTGATCATCGCCGGGGTAGTCAAAGAAGCGTCCTTTGAAGAAGGCTATGTAGATGAGCGACGAGTAGAAGTTCATAAACTCAAAAAAGAATATCTTAAAGGTATATGAGTCCTCATATTCGGTGTGAGTGCGTGGATTCTCCAGATTGGTTAACTTGATGGCCATGCGGTGGTAGATCTGTAAAATATATTGAATTAGATACCTTTCGTAGTTCTGTGAGCTCGACCTACCCGTGTCAGTATCATGATGACCACCAAATTGATTAGAGCAGCCGTCACAGTGGTAAACAGTTTGGCATGTTCCTTCACAAAGAAGCCGCCGCCGCCATAGATGACCGAGACCAGCGATATGCGATAGATAATCGTTCCCAGCACGGCAGACAGCACCACAGAGATCTATAGATAATCAAATAAACTAGCAACAGAATACGACTCCATCCAATGCTAATTACCATAAAGAGCACAGCACTGCCGGTAATGACAAAGCGTATGGCACGGCTCCAGGTGGACATGTAGGGCTCCTTTTCGCGTGTCACCGGATTCATGCGGAATGTGGTTGCATTGGTTTCAAACTCCGGTCGATTCTCCTCATCCATTTCCACATTGTGTAGATCCCATTCCCAGACCAGAACCGATTGTTTGCGTTTCCACAGCTCCAGGAAGGTGGTTGCTATAGATGAAAGTTCATGACATACATATGGAATATGGGTTAACTCTGTATATATTACCCCAAAAGGACATAAAGATGGCAAAAAACACAGTCGAGGGATTGTCAAAGAGGTAAGTCAGACGCGAGAATAGGCACGATTCGGATAGTCTTTGATAGCTGCAGGCCTTATCACAGAGCGGACAGAGCGTTATATTCCCTGTGCCGGACTCATTGCAGATCTCCTTGCTGGGCGTATTATCCTCCGATTCGAGTGTGGCCAGTCCATAAATAAAGCAAAGAGTGCCCACAACCGATGGATAGACGAGCATTTCGGTGTAGAAGCCCAGCCAACTGAAGTAGAGAGCGATTTTGTCGCCGAAATATTTGCGCACAAGGCACAGCGGCTGCTTCTTGTACCACTGCGAGGGATGTGCCCAGGTCTGATACAGAACGCGACGATCCAGCGATATTCCACTCGAGTGCGGCCGATCATAGCGTCCCTCGTGCAACGGAAAGCAGGCCAAGTAGGTGCCATCGTTGAGCAGACGCCGAATGCCATTGCGATCGCCGTCATCGTACGGCGTCCGAATCAACACCTGCATAACCATCAGCGAGCGTTGCGCACCCGTATACGCTGTGGCGCGATCCTTTACAATGAACCTTACACAAGGAGAGCATTTATAAATCAAGTGAATAAATCATATTAGTTTTAGTAGTCCTACTGCTCCTCCGGATTGCCATTGGCCGTGGCCGCTTTGAATGTGGTCTCGCCCTCAAGCAGACTATTGTCCAGCTGTATCTTTTTAGTTAAACGCTGCCAAACATCCTTCCAGTAGTGCACATTACGCATGACCACGTTCTCCTCATCCTAAATGTGAAATCGACCATAGGAGATATTCGCAAATGAAGGTACCAATTCCAACTCACCCAAGAAGGCTTTACGGATATGGTTATGAAGCGTTTGATGGGCAACTTCAGGTTCATGACCTCGGCCAGGCGTGTCTCCAGGCGCCAGGGGAGGTGAATTTTGAGGAAAAAGGTTTTCTCATTGAACGATTGTGATTTGTCCTCCAGCTCCACTTCGAGGCCCTCCTTCACTAGATTGTCCATAAAGGTGCGTCTAATATCACGGCGTCGTGCTTCCGCTTCCGTCATTACGCCCAGATCCTCCTCCTCCCAGGCCAACACCATGTCCACCTTGCGTCGGCCATCGCGAAACATCAGCGATTCCGGATCGAGACCCTCGCGATCCTGTTTGCTCACACGTCGCTCCTCGCTGCCATCGCCCGTGAGGCTGTTGCTCTTGCTGGCCTTGCGGCTGCTCAGGTAGCTGCCATTGATGCTGCTCTCGTCGGTGGATGTCTTCCGCTCGGCTGGCAGCAATTGCTTATAGCCGAATTGGTCGGACAGCACATTCGAGTGGGATGACTCTACAGCTTCGTAGGCGTCCTTGACACTGGGGTCGGCTTGACTGGCTCTGCGTCCACCCAGAGTCGGACTGAGATTCAGGCCCAGAGTGCGACGCATTGCCGTGCCAGGTATATCCTCATCGTGGTTGCCCACAATGCGCGGCCCAAACGCCTGTGTGGGACTCGGCTCCGCCGACTCCGTCTCCAGATGTGTGGGCAATGGCACTGCAATGGAGTTGACCTTCTGATAGAACGAGCCATTGCTGCCGCGCATCATCGACGAGTTCAGCCATTTCTCTGTGTACGCAGCAGAGCTGATTCTGTTGTTGGAGCTCAGCTCCAAGCTGGGCTTTGGCGTAATGGAATGGCCCACAGACATTGGACTTTGGTTCACCGCCTGCCGCTCAACTTCTAGAAAGTTGTAAATATTATCGGCAGAGACGTTGGGCTCGATGGGTGGCGACTGCAGATCCAGTTCAATTAAAGGACTCTCCTGCAGGAGTAGAGATAGATATAACCATATAGAGAACTTGCTTGATATCCTTGTTTTACTTACAGCATAACCAACTAAACGGCCAGCCACTATGCCGCTATCCTGGCTGAGTCTTCTGGGTCGCAGCTTGATCTGGTTGCTGCGTATCATACGCTCACTTTTCGCTGGACTCGAGACAACTTGGCGCCGCGACGTGCCCAACGAACTGTGCTGCGAATTGCGTAGCGTGGGCACCGAAAGGAATCCTATAAATTAACCATAACGGAAACACAACTAAAGCTATAACGAAATCATTTAATATTTCAATAGACACCCACTTGGAAATTGAAATGCTGTCTGCTCAATAGCTGCTGTCTCGCTCTCGCTCTCGCGCGTCGCACTGTCAATTAGATCCTCACGCGAATTGGCCTCCGTTATGGGTGCAGTGCTCTCATCGTCCACACTGTCGATACGTATTTGAAATATATTCGATTTGCGGCCCGCATTGCCCGTCAGCTTTGCATGATTGCTCATGTTTTCCAAAACTTTAACGTCACAACAGCCTAGAAAATCGTAACAGTGCAATTAAGGCTTGGGTCATGAAGTCTAGTTTTCACAGATTATTTTTTTTAGGACGACTTTTCAGTTAATGTGACCTACAATGACAGCCCATGAGGATTTGCTGTGCATGTGTCTCGATTCCCATCATTAAATATGCATTCATATTTAGAAGTTCGATGAAAATCGAAACGTAGCTCATAACACTCAAACGCAAATAGGCCATCAATACCTTTCTGTGTGACAATATACAAATAAGTAGAAGAGCTATGAGACCTTGCAAATGTTTGTTGTCATCTAAGCGAATTGTAAGTGAAATTTGAAATTTGAAATGAGTAAAAGGTTTAAATCAAAATTTTAGCTGGCTTTCTATATCAACCAAACATTCTTATTTAAATCAATAAAATTTTAGAGCTATTTTTAGACAATTTTAAAAATCATTAAAAAATAATACACCCTTCTTATGGAGTGTATACTTGGTTTTATTAATACAAATAAAATTAAAAAAATTAAAAATAGAAAAAATATTAGAAAAATAAGAATTCAATTAAACAAAAATCATAAAAATTAATAGTTTCTAGCTTAATGTGAAAAATATTAGTATTTTAAAATTTTTGGTTTGATTTAAATTTACTTTTTATTTATATATTATTATTATATTATTATTATTATTTTTTTTTTTTTTTTTGTATTTATAATATATTTTTTATTACATTATTTATGTTATTATTTATTATTCTTTAAAAAAATTCTAATTAAACCTCTTACTTAATGCCAAAAAAAAAAAAAAAACAATTATAAAAGCTTTATATTATTAATTATTAAATTAAATAATCATAGCACTTAACGTTGCTATATTATTCAGGTTTCATTTAACGTTTTTAGTCTGTATTTATACACAAACACACACGCACACACACATACACACATATCATGTGTACATCGTACTCCCCAAGGACCACTTAATTCTGTCATTAAAATCGCCTGAAAAAGCAAACAGGCAAACATATTAAATGTCTAATTCATCTATATTTATATAATTAAATGTAATAGAAATGTACGAAGATAGTTTTAAATGTCAAGGGTTTAATATAAAAACAAAATGCCATATATGAAACTTGAAAACTAAAAGGAAAATCATTATAAATTCATAATGCGACTCTTCAAGCTCAGGCAAGAGACCCACTAAATAACCTTTTCGATACGATTGCTTGTTTATAAATTGAACAAGATACATTGACATGAAGTATATATTCGAAAAACCAAAATCAGGATATCGTTATGCATATAAAATATATATATATGTATAAGCACCATGAAATGGTTATGGCTCACGTCACGAGTGAATGCCCAACTTCAGTTCGTAGTACTCGAGGCCAAAGGCATAATAGCCTTTGTACACACACACACACATGCAAACAGACACACATTTATGGGGCACATCAGTATATATAATATAAGTATATATATGATAGATAATGCACATTAGTGAGAGGTCCACATCGGGTCGATAAATGTTGAATAAATAAACTTGTTGCTGAACTAAATTGGCGGCTAGTTGTTGATTCTCACTAGGCGAATGTCAAATACGTATAATTTATTTATTTTCCATTGACTGAAATATGTGCTCAAAGGAGTCTGGATTTAAAAGCCTCCACTTCCATTTCGATTGACACGAATCGAACAAGACCTTTTCTAGTTCGCCCCAAAAATGTGGCACATACTATATATAAATAGAGATACATATCGTAGTGCGCCCAGTATGACTTGCCAGATGCGTCAATATTAGTTGTAAGTAGCTGGCTTGTCAGTTGTGCAAAGTCTCATGCCGTCGTAGTAATCACAGCAATTGAAGGTTTATTGATTCGACATTCTCATTCTTCAAGTTCTATATTAATAATCGATTATTGATTTCAAGTTGAAAGTATTCAAATGCCACTCAACTAAAACTAATCAAAAATTTCACCGTCACTATAGGACAACTGGAATACTTATATATTTACTTGAATACTTATATATTTATTTATTTTTTGATTTATTATTCCATACTTTTAACGCTTGATGTCTGTGTTAATGTTGCTTTTTTTTTTTACTATTGACTTAAAATGTTTGTTTTCCTTTTATATTTATCTATTTTTTTTTTTTTTTTTAATATCTTTTTTTAATCATCTTTTTTTCGGTATTTGCTCGCGTGTCCTATATTAGTTATTAACACATTCCGTTCTGCATAATGGACACTGCGAGCGATTTCGACCGATTTGTTAAAGCACTCGCGCACGAATGACCAAAGAACTGACACAAACCACTGACCACAAGCTAAGCACTATAAGTAAGCTTGCAACTGTCGCCTGTCCCAACCACCGGAGCGACTATCTACTACTACAGCTATTGCTAGATAATCAAAGTAGTTCAGTTTTTTCATGTGTTGCTCTCTCACCCACGCCAAATCGAGCTCGCCACGTTTCTGGGGCTTAATGGTTAATTGACATAGTTGCCCGTGAAGTACTGGCTACAATTTGACATTTCGACTATTCTAATTTTTGTTGTTAGTTTTCTCTTCTTCCTTTTTTTTTTTTTTTTTTTTTTGATATATAGTAGTTATATGAATTAATAAAAAATTATGTTCTATTTGATAGGGCAGCCAAGTACCGCAGGGAATTTTGAACCCATGAACCGGCAATCGAATCTATTGTAGCCCCACACCCATTTAAGGTCCTTCTCGGGGGGTTCACAGAGTTAAACAACGACCTCACTATTAATTGCCGTTACATACTAGTAACGTAAAAACTATAAAAATAGAAATAGAATGGATTATTATACGGTCGCCCATCTATTTCGAGCCGACTGTATATACTTACGTCAAACAATTGGCCAAGTGCGTCGTTTACCACCTTCAAGACAAGGCGATGCGTGATATGTGATATTTGTTATTAGCAGCCTACAGTTGTTGTTGTCTCTTGAAAATCGTGACGAACGTTGTTATTATTTAAATTTACTGCACACAAATATAATAGATTGCAAGGCTCTGATAGAGGGAATTACTGTTCCGACACTTGACCGACTTCCTGATTGATTGCCTGACTAATTGATGCCGAATGCATTGCCAGCAATTCACCTTCCTGGTAGGGAAGGCACACTTCGGAATTATCCTATATGCATTAGCTTTTTAATAGAAATACTTTAATGGGAAATCTTGTCCAAAGGCAGTTAAGAAATTTATTTAATATAATTCATTTGAGAGGAGACTCGTTTCAAAAGTAACTCATATGATTTTGTCAAAGGCAACTTTACGATCTTCTATGCGATTCTCATTATTTATAGTTCTATAAAGTCTTTCATTTATACATATATTAATACATATAGTACCATAGCAAACACAACTCAAATTTTATACCTCCTGCGCTACATTTAATGAATGTCGCTCTTCTATGCGCTTCTCATAAGTTTAATTGCTGAAAACTATAGGTTTTGTGAAAACAGTATATATACTATTGAGTTATATTAAAGAATTTCATTAACAAGAAAACTTGAGAGCCAGAGGGTGAAAAAGCGTTGACGGAGAAAGAAAACAAAAATCTATTAAAGAGAGGAAAGAATATAAATAATAATATTTTTTATAAAAAGTATGAGCTAGTATAGTTAAAGAAGAGATGCATATATAAATTATGAAAGTATTCAGGATAACAATTTTTAGTTGATCTTACTTCCCACTATCTCGATATCTCTCTCTCTCTATCTCTCTCTATCTTTCACTCTCTCTCTCTCTTTCCTTCTTGCTCAGTGTTTGTTTCTAAACCAGTTTCATTTGAATAATCCACCCATTGATAACTTTATTGAACCCAACACCATAAATATATAAATAGCTTTTAAAAATGAGTTTCTAGAGATAGAAGGTTGTAGAAATTCTTCACAGCTCACTCGTCGCCCTTAGCCAATTCGTTGGAATTGTTGTTGCACTGCTGCAGCACATCCGTTTCACAAGAGTTTGTAGTCTTGCTGAAGAACTGGCCCGCCTCGCACTCAGCCTCGATCTTCTGTCCGTGCAGACACACAAAGTATCCGCGACAATTGTTAGCATCCCGAGCCAATTGGCCATGTTTGCCACTGCAGACGCCCACACGTTCGCCATTCTCCATGAGGCAGGTGCCGTCGTTCTGCCGGCAAATGCCCAGCAGGCTGTCGAAGCTCTCGCCATTGCGACAGCGTTGCGAGATGGGCTCGTCCTCTTCGCAGCTGATGTAGCGCCGGCAATCGCCCGGCTCGGCAATGGACACGCCCTCATCGATCAGCTCGCACAGATTGGCAATGTCAGCGGGTGCATCGCTGCAATTCTTGGGCAACTGTGTGGCAAGTGAGTCCAGTGAATCCGTTTCCATAACATCCAATTTCAACTCCTGCACCTCCTGCTGATCCTCGTCCATGGCCAGCTCGTACGCCTGACACTGCTTCAGGGTTGCATTGAAGAAGTAGCCCGCATAGCAACGCTCTCCGCGCAGCTTGTTCGAGATGCAGATGTAGAAACTGTTGCAGTTGGCCAAGTCTGGCAACAACTGGCCATTTTTACCCTCGCACATCACCGGATTGGGTTTGGGCTTCTGATCGCTGCTGATTGTTGAATTTGTCAAATTCTGAGCGGCCTCATTGATGACATACGGGCAGGAGCCATCGTCTGGGGTGCAGAGCAGCTGCTCGGCGTTGAAGTAGCTGTCGCTGCCACAGCGTTGCATAAGTGCCACGCCCCCAGCACAAATGTAGTACCTAGTGCAGTCCTTAGAGTCAGCCACATAGCTGCCATCCGGCAGATGCTCGCAGCTAAAGAGAGCGCTGCTGTTGCCACTGCCTCCACTGTCGTCCCCTTTGCCCAGTTGTCCACGCTGGCACTCGGAGCTCTGCTGTGCCGGCTCGCAGCGCTCCAGACTGGCATTGTAGACCTGTTTGGCTTCACACTCGGCCGCAAAAGCAAGTCCATGCACGCAGGCGTAATACTGATTGCAGTACA